TATTAGTGAGTACTTCAAAACCCACTCAGATCTCTAATTTCAAAAGAACTGAACTGTCACAACATTGAAAATAATGGCACAACTACACTGAAGCAGAGAAATTAATTACTTTGTAGGTTCATATCACAAACAGTGGAAGACTTGCTGTTTTTCGCTCAAGAAATTACCTGATTCGCTCGTTCTGCCAGACCTTGAGAAAAATAGATCGGTATTTTGAGATCCATCCTTTCCCAGTAGGACTCAAGAAGTATACACATTTCTTGGGCACGTCCCAATGCGAAAACTGGGATGAGAACCTACAATAGGTTCGAACGTATCTTGTGGTGCTAATGACACAAATTATACCTTTCCTCCTGCCATCACCCTATCATGCACTTTTCTCAGAAAATCTCTTTCGCGTGCTCTTTTTGAGTCACGAATTGTGGTAGCGTAAGTGGACTCAGAGATCAGACAATCTGGCCGTAACCCGGGCAGCACTCTGGCAGCACCGAGATGACGATCAGGCGTCATATTGTAGTCGCCTTAAGAAAAGTAGATTATTGGAAACATAGCAGTAAAGCCACTCACCTGTATACAGTATACTCTGATGACCAACGCGTATCTCGAACATAGCTGCACCTAATACATGCCCAGCATAAAACGCTCGTATCGACAGTTCACTGTCAACCTGTATGGTTTCATGAAGGTTGACAGCAATAACCTGAATCATTACTAAGATCACTTTGAGCCATAGTCTGATCCTTTCAAATCCATTGAAAACAGAGCCTTTTCTTCGAACAATTGTAGAGAAGCTGGCCAGAAACTAATAGACAGTGAAACATACACTACCTTTTTCATGCACGCCTTTATATTGGCGGAAGTGAAGAAATTCGTGTCTCCCCTGAACTCTGTTTGCACCTTGCGATAATCCTCCTAGAACGGTATGAAAATTGATCAACAACAGTATGGATAGACTTCAAAAAAATTCTTACCAACAGAACTGGGGCTATAGCTTTCGTTGGGTACGTCATATAGATAGGTCCGTCAAAACCGACGATTTCGCTCATATGTGGCAAAGAACCACAGTGATCTAGATGAAAGTGAGAGACGATAACGCATGTCAAGTAATCATTCAGCTTCCCTCCTCCACCGATGTAACTGTAAACAGAAAGCAGTAACGAAACAAGAACGAATACCAAACTAGAGCTTACGAGAAGTCTGGAAATCGCCGTTCATCTTGATAGCCCATGTGCATACCACAATCAAGCATTACGTTTTTTCCTCCTATTGTGACCAAGATACAGGAGCGACCGACATCTTGGCCTGCCCCAAGCGGAACGATCTGAATGTCCTTGTCTTAAATTGAGTCAAAGTGCAAAAGTCAAAGTGTTAAAAGTGCAGTAAGTTTCCAGCCAATCTGTAAAAGTCGATGAAACCTTCTACTATGAAAATTTTTTTTGGTGCTTTCCTCTTACGAACTCACATCCCCGCAGCTGGTAAGAAAAGTTAAAAAATGTTACAGAACTGATTTGGTTTTTTTCGATATCCATGAAGAAATACTTGGAAGTGATTCAACAAGTTATGAGGTCGTGCACATGACTGTTTTGATTTCTTGAAAGACAATGGGGAGGAGGGACGGTGGGATGTAGATTATATTTACGTCGGAAAGTGATAAGACTGTTTCAGAACTATTTTTAGCGTCAAAAGGAAAAGAACTTTGACCCTACTCATATGATCTGTTGTTGAATAAGACATCAAAACCACTCTGAAATGTTTACATCTCTGACTCTTACCACATACAGCATTTTCCTTGATAAAGAAGCAAAGAAATGTATCCCCATTCCAAAAAAATAAAATATAACACAATGCAAAATATCATACCTTGATATCCGTCATTTTCTGATTGCATATGCTACATCACAAACTGGAACTGCTGTCAAAGTTATGTTGGCGTGAAAACCTGTGCTTGGAGATGCTGCGCGACGATAGGGTTAGGGAAAATGCGAGCCTCCGACGAAGATAGACCACCGTAACGTTGTTCTGACTAATGAAAGTTAACAACCTCAGATTTAGTTGCAGAAGGCAAACAAAGAAATTTTTGTATACTAGTTTCTGACAAGTATGTATATATGACTTCTCATATGTAACATATTACATATAATTGGTAGAAGTGAGTTAAAATTCATTGGCATTCTGTACAGAGG